ATAATACATAATGGAAAAACAGAACTAAATTTAAAAATAATAAAAAAATAATATATATACATATATTTGTAATGAAATTCTGTGAACAACAAACAAAATTTCGATTTAAGAATATAAAAATATAAATTTAATTTTCATGAAAAAAAAATTTCTCTTCTTTCGAATAAAATATTTATGAATGTTGTATTTAATATTTAATTTCTTATCAACAAATTAAATACAATCATATTCTCAATATATGAATAGATGATAAATTCATCATCAAAATAAGAATAAATAAATTAAAACAATTCCAATACCAAATATTTTTCCAAAGATTTAATATAAAAATTAATAAAAATTTCAAGAAATATTGATTTTAGAAAACACCTGATGAGAGTCATATTTTGACTTCCGATTAAAGCTACGTTCAGGAACAGCAGTCACATATGCAATACGGTATCCTCGAACCGTTGAGATCCGACAAAACTGACACCTCGAGGCTCTATTCCTCGAAGAAGATACTTGATTTAATCACTCTAAGAATGAAAAAAATGTAGAAAAGGAAAAGAGTGAAAAAAATAGAGAGAGAAAAAGAAAAAGAAACAATAAGAACATGAAATACGACAGAGACAAAATAACTTGATTCTTGGCCCGATTTTATAAAGTCATTTGTCGCCTTTTTCACGCTCATGACAGTTTTTCACGCGACTTTCTCATAGATATTTTTCCTTCATAGATATTAAATAAAAATGTCCTGAGAATTTCGAGTGAAACGCTAGACAAATATTCTTTAACAGATAATTCTCTCGTTTTCCGATCGAACTCCCGAAATATTCTTACAAGCCGCGTGAAACGGAGCTGGTGTTCGCCAGATACGCATCTCCTGCACCCTCTCTTTCTCTTCACCCAATGACGAACAGTCAACAAAATTATGATGTTGTGGTAGATCTATTCATTTAAATGTACATGTATATTTAATAGTCAATGTATGTATTTATTTGGATTCAGATGTAGTAAAACTTTGTTTATTTGTGAAATAACTTATTAAATAACATACGGATGAAATTGTTTTTTCAATTTTTCATAACTTTTAATATGAACAAAAATTGTCTTTCATAAAATTTTTAAGTTATTATATATATAAAGCCTAAACTTAAATAACAAATTTTTTAAAATATTACAAATCGGTTACATATTATTATTTTCACTGATTTTATAAATTTTAGTTCAATAATATAATTTTTGTTTTCAGAAAATATTTTTTTTATTATATTTATCATTTTTATTATGTAAAAATAATTTTTAATAAAAATATTTGAATTAGATTTGGAATAAATAAAAAAAAATTATCATTTCACAAATATTTCTAATTTATTTATTTTTATGTTATTTTATATATTTCTTTTTAAAGTACTAAATATAGTATAGAATTAAAGAAAAAAATATAATAATATTATTATAATAATATTAGAAAATAAAAAAATATGTATAAAAACAATGTTTAAAAAAAATAGGATTTATAATCAAAATTTAATTTTACAGAAATTATTTGTTATATAATCTGGAAAATAAAAAATTATATAGTTGTTTTATTATTAAAAAATAAGTACATAATTTTGATTTTTTTTATTTTATTCCATTAAATAACTCAGAAAAAATAAAATCTCATTCAAATTTCATTAATTCATTTAAGAACAGCTTTAATGATTAAATAGAAATGAGAATTTTCATTTTTATTTAACCTTATATATTCATAATTTAGAATATAAATTCATTAGCTACTTTCTTCATTTATTTTTGTTAGTTTCAATAGAAATTGATGTTTAGAAAACTGAAGTTAAATAGATTTATGTATTTGGTTTAAATTAAATATTATAATTCTGAATCTAAAAATTAAACTTCTAAGATGATACAGAGACAAAACGAATGTACTTTCTTTTATTCACTATCATATAGCTATATAATCTTATTTGTAAATGTAAAATTTTTAACAAATATGTGTCTATGATTGTATCAAACTTAACCAATGAAATTCTTATTCGTTTCAGAGGATTTTTTTAAAATTTATAATACTTAAGATATTATGTTCAATTTATTTGTATAAACACAGTTTTACTATAAATTTTCAAATAATGAAATTTAATCGAAATGATCAGAGTTATTATCATAATTATTAATTATTTGAATTGGATTATAAGATATTCTTTTTTTTCATTAAATAATATGATTTAATTCATAGATTAGATATGTTTAATTAAAAATAAAAATCGAGTTCTTTAATATAATTAAAACGTATATATTGTTGGTCCTATTAATATATTCTCTCTAAATAAAGAGATAATAAAGTTACACATTAACCCTGACCATTTAAATTAAAATATAATATTATATATACTATATACTATATATTATATATATATATATATATA